TTTGTTCTGGTACTTTGTTTCCTGAGTGTGCCCTTTGTCTGAGTGTGTGGGTGCTTAAGTTTTTGGAGTGTCCAGCGTTTGATGACACTTCAATTCTTACTGAAAAAAAGTTTGGTTTTTTTTTTTAACTGCCACCTTTGGTTTAGTAATGACCAACTGGATCTCAGGAAATTCAGACATGTCTGAAGTAAAACTCAAGCGCGGAGCCCCTGATGGGCTGTGAGAATTGTCATAGAATTGTTCTTTTTGTCCTTTTTTCTAACATAAACCACAGGTTTGACGGTGATATTAAGAAAGGCCAGTCACCACCGACTGATGGTCTCAGGTCTGCTGCTGCACCTGTTGAACATTTCCACCCACAACCACATGTGAAAGACTAAATAAATGCAGTGGACGGCGTTGACAGCTGCTCATGGTGGTTTTTGGTCATGGTGCAAGTCAAGCAAAAGAAAAAGAAAAGAAAAACCTAAAAAATGGACTCTCTAAAATATTAGTGCAGAGTTAGGGCTGGGGCCCATTGAGCCCAGGTTACCAGAGCGGCTACGATCGCCACTGGACGGATGAGACGATATTGTCGGAGGAGGAGGAGAATTCCTGCAGCTAAACAATCCGCCGTACACTTCCTGTTGTAGCACAATTTGTTTTTCTTTAATGGGTCCAAATGAGTGGAAACCGTAATCGCTATTGGCCTGTTGCGTGATTTTCATGCAGGTGTATGTGTGTGTGAGAGAGAGAGAGAGAGAAAGAGAGAGAGAGTGTATGGGGGAGAAAAGCTTTTTTTTTGCCGAAAAGCTTGTAAGAAAGGAAGATTTATGACTCGGTCTTCGTCATCTGGGACATGCGCTGATATTAAGCTTTATATCTGTGGTTAAGAGTAATTATTTCACACACACACACACACACACACACACCACAAATGTGTCAGCGTGTTTTGAACCTCCTCTGACGAATATTATTATTATTATTATTATTATTATTATTATTATTATCGCTGTCTCCCACGTGGTCAGTTTCTCAGCTCATTTTAATAAGGTCAGTCATAATCTCGTGGCCGAGTCAGTGAAGGAGAAAACAGCTCCTGCGAGGCTCATAGAAGGGCGGGAGGCGCGAGGCCCCTCAAGAGGCCACGACTGACCCCGAGCTTCAGACTCACAGCAGTCACGAAACAGCACTGGAGCTGCTGCTCGGGTGGCTGCAGCATCCTCCACCTCCATCCTTCATCCTCCACCAGCCCTCTCCCTCCCTCCCCACACACAACTCCATGTCTCGCGGGAACAGCATCGGCACGCCACTGTGAGCTGGGGCGCTAATAAAATTGTCCCTCCTGCAGGCGAGTCTTGTTGGAAAATTAATTTTATCTAATTATACTGATGTCACTGCCGCCTTTCAGCGCGTAATTAAAATCTGACCTGCAAGCCTGCGCT